TAACTTATTTAAATCTTGTAAAGTGTGTGTGTGTGTGTGTGAGAGAGAGAGAGAGAGAGAGAGAGAGAGAGAGAGAGAGAGAAAGAGAGAGAAAGAGAGAGAAAGAAAGAAAGAAAGAGGAAGAGAGAATGACTCTTTCGGAATTGTAAAGAGAAATACTCAATTGAAAATTTTGCAAACTTTCTTGAAATCCTTCACGTTTGTTATTTCCAGCTCTTATCGTCGCATTCTATTTAACGTCGAATTTGAGTGAGATCTTTCTGCTACAACGAAGTTCCGAGGGCGCTGAAATGGATATTTGCACGAGGGCTGAGCGATAGAGCAAACGAGTTATTAACCGTTTGTGCGATATAACATTCTGAGATCATAATCGTAAACGAACGTACGCCGATACTTACAGAACAGAACAAAACAAATACATTAACGTTATGCCGCTCGTAAATACAAGACGAACGCTTTTAATGCTCTACTGGGGAGCGATGCAAAAGTAACGATCTTCGAGAGAGGAAGAGAAGAGAGAGGGAAAGTGCAAGATCAAACGACATATTTATCGATATCGAAAAGCTCTTTCTCTCTCTTTCTTTCTCTCTCTCTCTCTCTCTCTCTTTCTCTCTCTTTCTTTCTCTCTCTCTCTCTTTCTCTCTCTCTCTCTCTCTCTCTCTCTCTCTCTCTCTCTCCATTTTGCCTTTTTTAGTCACAATCGAAATTGGCCGCATAATCGATTCGAGTGTGATAAGGCAACGATTTCTCTCATAAAATTGATATTGTTAGATGCATCTATGCCGCCTATAGGACGTAAAAAAAACGAATAAAGATCCATACGAAAAGCCCAAGCTTAAAGTCTCTAAAACACTCAGAGAGTACGTAGCGATTTATGAGAGACAAGATTCGAGGCAAAAGAGTTCTTCTATTTTTCTACTTATATTTTTTTGTTCCTTTTGCAATATCGGCATTTTCTTTCAAAAAATTCGATCTCTTTTACGACTTCCAAATATGTAATGTTTTTGAATATTTGCTATTTTTCATTATAATGTACTATCTTTTCCTTTTATCGTAAAATATTGAGCTGAAACAAATAAAAGCCTGATTAATCTGAGATCTTTGAGAGAGAAAAATAGGAAGAGATATCATATCTTTTATACAACAAAATATTAGCAGATAATAAATGTTAACGCGGATTTGCATCGATTCGATAAAATCATGGATTCAGCAATTTTTGACATTTGGTTTAACCAATAGAAATGGCATGCGGCAAAGCTAATCGATCGTCAGTGGTGCATTTCATAATGACGGCGTTCAGATGATTCGATTATTTCATTTGTAAATGCAGCATCGATCATGACCATTCAATGTTCAATTGTTCAAGTAAATCAAAGAAAAGCAAATATATGAAAGTTGTGAGGGGAAAATAGCGTACGGTCGAAACCGTACCAGGTGACATTCCAATTGGTTGACATCGATTCAGTAAAAGTACCAATACGGTCAAAACATATGTTGTGAGAGTTTACAGTTAGTTCGTTAGCCTAGCTTTCGGTAGAGTTCTCAGGATAGCTCTTCAATGGTAGAAGACGCTTGAGAAAATCTCAAAAAAAGTAGAACGGCCCGGAATACTTGGGTCTTGCTTGTTTCACTACCTCGAACTTCTTTCTCGTTTCTATCTTTTTACCTCCTTTTTATACATTTTTCTTTTTTATACATTTTTTGAGGCGTAGAATGGAATTAGTTTCTGAAATAGGTCCGCTTGTTACTAGCAATGACGACGTTCATGCGTGTTTTCGATTTCTCTTTTTCGCCCGATTCATATTCTTTCTTTCTCGGCAATCTTTCTCTCTCTTTCTCTTTCTCTCTCTCTCTCTCTCTTTCTCTCACCCTCTCATTCTCTCTTTTTCTCTTTCCATTCGCTTTTCCCATGTCTTCCTCTATTACGCATTTCCGGCTCGTTGGACCGGAAACGCTAAGATAAGACGGGTTTACACCACTCTCTTCGCAGAGAAGAGATGTTGGGCAGGGTTAGGCTGGGTGTGTCTTATCCGGAAAATGTTATGTGCACGTGGCTGGCATCGATCTTACGTCTAATGGCTCGACGGAACGTGGCCGATCGAATTGCTTTCCTTATGCATCGAATATCTTGCTCTTTCAAAGGACTAGAACCATTCAACTGGTGTGCCAGCTACTCACCCACAATCGCATCTCGTATCGCAAGAATTTAAATCGACGAAACTTTTATAAAACGTAAATTAAATGAAATCGAGTATACGATTTCTTTCATAATTAAAAAGGAAATGATAATAAAGTAAAAGATATTTGGAAAGTATTGCGAATTATCGGCCAAAGCATGAATTTTTTGAGGAAAATGTCCCGCTTTTGATCAACGATTCGAGGACCATCAAACTCGACGAAATGTCTGACGCTGCAGTCGCTTCGTGAGTTCGCCGTGGCGTGAAGTACGGCAGAATGTGCTCTCTCTTTCTTTCTCTCTCTCTCTCTCTCTCTCTCTCTCTCTCTCTCTCTCTATCTCGCTCTTGCTCTCTCCTTTCTACTCTTTTTCATCGTTGACGACTGTGGAAAACGCCCGACATCCCCTTGCGACCGCGATCCTCTCTTCTACCTCTACTCCGCCCCACTGTCATTGGATATGAATATCGTCAGCTCTTTTTCACCCCCCGTCGAACATATTTCAACGACAGTACGTACTGAGAAGCTCGATGGATGCTTCTATACCCCTCGACACAATCCCCGAATATGCTTGATCGTTCGTTCGTTTCAATAGGGATTTCGCCACTTTCGAAAGACTGCTACATTTCTAAAGGAGGAACCATTTTAAAGAGATAAAACGAACATCTTGGAAGAAAAAATAAATGATCAGAAGACTTTCTTCATACTTTGTTACGAGCATATTTTATGCAATTAAATGTTTCAGATATGAGCACCAATCGTGTCCTTCTAATTTCTTTATTTCCTGAACGTCACAAAAAACGAAACTATGTTAATATAAGCATATCATGAAAAAAATATTTTCTTTATTTTTCTCTTATGAAAAGTACGTCGCAATTTGCATGAAAATCAAAAGGTAGCCATGTTGTTGTTAGAAGGAGGAAGTAGATAGAAAATGTTTAAAAAAATACTACGCCTGCTAATTCGTTCTCTAGTTCGTCCGCAGCCCGCAAAAACGATTTATAAGGCAAACGTTTCAGCGGCTTGAGTTCGCCTTCGTTTTACTCTCCTCTTTGCTACTTCTTTGCGACGTTGAATTTCTCTACCTCTCTATCTACCTCTCTGTCTACCTCTCTGTCTACCTTTTTCTTTCTCTTTCTCTTTCTCTTTCTCTTTCTCTCTGTCTCTCTCTCTCTCTCTCTCTCTCTCTCTCTCTCTCTCTCTCTATCTTTACGAGAAATCTCAACCCTCTTTTACTTTCGTCCAAGAAACTCGAATTTCTCTATTTTTCGTTAAGAAAAAGGCCATGTCTTGTATCATTTCGAAGACGAATTTGCCCAAATCTTCTTGGACGTTTCTCCATTTCTTCCTTAAACTGACAAAGAGTATAAAAGAACAAATCGAAGCAAGAGAAAGAAAGAGGGAGAAAGAGAGAGAAATAAAGACAGAAATGAAGAGAGAGAAAAAAGGACACCTATTATTCGCTTTACTTCGTTACTTCTATTTATATTACTTTTTTTTGCGTCAGCCCTTTCCGATCATTACTACTTATGTCTCCGCAGCTTCTATTCTTATAAGCAATACTTTACAGTTTTCTATTCACATCAGAACCACTTTCATCTCGAGTTCCTTTTTTTCTTTCTTTTTTGTTTCTGTAAGTTTTTACCTGTGGAGACAAGAGTTTAAATTACATGATATCTATATTCTGTTGAAAATCAACATCAATAGTGATCATTAAAAGTTCTTTGTATAAATTTTTGTTAAAAGTATTAGGAACGTGGAAGATTTATTTGTGAATACGATATATATCGGGTTGTATCTTATCGTTCAGGCGCGAATTGCCAGCGGACATATTCATTTGTGATAGGAAATGTATAGTACTACCTCGTATTCAAAGATGGTGCCACTGGCACGAGATACGTGATTCCGATCGTATTCATGTGAGAATCATTGTATTCATATATAACACAGATGTATTCATATATGTATACATACTGAACATGCTATCAATAGTATTACATACATATATACCTAAATACATATATCCTTACCTTTTTAAGCTATTTTATTTATAAATGCATAAGAAAAATTATAATTAATACTTTTCGCCAATAAGGGATAATGTTTCTACAACATGCCTTGAGCCAATCTGAGAAAAATTGAAAAATTTTGGAAAAATTTTCTCAGAATCGAAACGTTTCCTTTTTCTGTCTAATTCGTATGCAAGTTGATCGCTTCGTTATTTATACGATAAAAATATTAGAGGAGATTTTACAGAACGAGATTAATATCGAGGTTTTAATGACGCAGCGCGAAAGCTGTTCCTCAATGCGGCATTTCTTACGTTTTTAATGGTTGTTCGCACGTGATTCGGCCTCCAATGAAACGACGACAGTGATAGACATACGGACGGACCTGATTAATGATATTTCACTATGGTTGCCACGTTCAGTGCCAGACACACTGACTACCACTATTACGACTAGCTCTTGCAAGCAACCCTTCTTCGGAACGAGAGAAAGTCATTAGGTCGTCCCTATACAAAGGTCTTAAGAAGAACTTCCCTTTAAGGGATGAGCATCATTAACTACGCAATCCATCGTGTTCAGGGAGCCTTAACCCTTTAACCAGGGAGCTCGTTTACCGAAAGCGCACTCTACACGTGCCATAGCAAACTTGCAGAGATGAGTTAACTCCGTTATGTTTGTAGTAAATACGAAATGTCATAATTTCTGTACCTTATACGATTATTAAACAATAGGGAATTCAAAGATGGATGTTCTTCGATAAATAAGCTAACAATTTCAAAGAAAATTAGTTTTATTCAACAGTATGATATAATTGGATAATATTATTTCACAGATGGGACACTAATATCTTGATTTCTTAAGAATTTTTTTTTCATTAAACACAGCATATATCTACGAGCTACATTTACTTTGGATGCTGAACTAGATATATAATCTGAGAAATGCCTTTCAGTGAAGCATGTTGCTTTCGGAGTAACTGATTGATAATTGAGTAAAGTTGTAAATTTTCGTGACTCATATGAAAGCGTATATTACACGCAATAGTTCTCTCAGTATATTTCACTAAGAAATATATTTTACCTAACTTTCCACCACGTCGTTAGCTCATACGAATTCATGTAGATAATATCCAAAATGAATAAAAATATTTTTGTATAATATCTTTTTAGTCCATTTCTTGATGCCTTATAAGCTGCAATTTGGATGTTACTTACGTCCACGTACCCCATATTCTTTTTATAATTAAGGACTGCGTGGTATTAATTTTTCAATTACTACATTTATTTATTATGTCCATTACGTCGTTGTGAAATGTACTAAGTATGAAAATATTTTTTTTGTCATTCCATTTTATTATTATAATATTTTCTATATATTTCGTAAATCTGTCCTCAATGAACTGATAATAAAAAATAAAAGATATATACAATTTAAAATTTATGTGCATAGTCTTTAAAGTTGTTTGATAAGTTAACTCATATTATGCGCTGGAGAAGTATTTTCCTATGGCGAGTTAATTGTCATTCCCAGCTAACAGGTTATCACAATATAATACCCGATTTTGTGATCACGATCATTTTTGCATCATATTTTTCTTTCTTTTTTGAACCCTTTATTGCTATGTTAAAAGAGAAAACAATCATAGGCGCAATTTGATTTTTAGACTTGAGTATACAATAATTTAAATGTGTTTGCAGTAAAAAATACATCATTCATCATTTTGATACATGTTTATCATTCATTCATTTTTAATCACTTTCGTGATCTAATGTTAATTTAACGTTAACAATGAAAAGCTTTTAACAATAAGTAAATATTTATTTCTTTTTAAAGTGTGATTCCATCGCAAAGCTGGCGATAAACGAATCTCAAAGTATCTCTATGGTATATCATAAGCATTTCTAATCTACTTCGCGCTCTTTTGTTACGGACGGTAAAGTCTTTCGCAATGTTAAAGGGTTAGAACTCTGTTGAAAAGGTACATTCACGACACGTAAAGTCTGGTCCGAATAGTGGTGGTAGTAGATACGACGTAGGATCGTTTCTAATAGTGTGGTCTAATTGATACGCTCGCTGAAAACGTGAGTCACAAAGTCAAACGTGCTTTACCGAACGATCTTCAAAATCCCTTTGATCTACCGAGTTTCTCGTGAACGAGCCTAAACCGTCTTCCCTCAGAATTGTCTAAAGATGAGAAAGGATAGAGCTTTAGGTCCTCTCCCTTCTTCTCCTTTTCCTCCTCTTTCCACTCTTCTCTCTGTCTCAGCAAGAAGCGCGGTCTTTGTCTTTGGAAAGACATCCCTCTGTCACTCTCAGCGCGATTCACTTCTCTAAAGCTTCGGAGTTTGTTTGAAAGTTTTGTCGAAAGGCAACATGGCAAATGACGTGCGTACGACGAGCGAACGCGAAGATTACAAATATCGATGAAGTAGAAAAACAAAGACAGAAATAGGTAGAAAAAAGGAGAATTAAAAAGTGAAGGAAAAAATGAAGATTGTAGCAATTAATCGAGTATCTTCCTATATCACATTAAATGACTATTTTATCATCAAAAATGCGCCTCTGTTTTTTATAAAATGAATATAAATATTTTTTGTCCATCCAACATATAGAGAATTAGAAGACGTAACTTGGTTTGGGCTCTCGTCTATGAGCTCGTCGACGCATTTCTCCATCTATTCTTGCCTCCTATGCGCGATATTACATTAGTAGACACCATACCGAGGGAGCTTTTACCCTTTCTCGTTGGCCTTACACCTCCTCGCACCGACCGTACCCACCATAGCCGCGAACGCCGTTCAAACACCTGCAAGTGTTTGCTTAGGACGCCGGAGCAAGCGCTCTAATTGACTGGTTTCAACTTATTAGTGTGTCTGTAGCGCATTTTAAAACTGGATTAACCATACTCGCGAGATCCACGATTCTAATTCGAGAGGCACCCGCGAGAAGTAATCTTATTGTTGAATTTATCTTCGTATTCATTAAAATGATTTTCGAAAGGTTCTATTGGGCGTGGTAAAGCTAGTTTAGCTCAGCGTTGTAATTAGAATAACTTTGTCAAATTCTTCAAATATTTACACAGGCAAGGAAATTTTCTAATACCTACATAGCCCTGTAAACGAAGCACGAATTTTAAGAACGATCGTAACATTTATTTCCTTTCTTCTTTCTGTCTGCTTTTTACGGTAGGCGCGTTACTTACTTTCTAAAAGCCACGTTCGAATCCTTTATTGGGTGCGAAATGCTGCGGGGTAGACGGTTTGTGTGTACACATGGAGGCCGAGTGGAGACTCTCAATCAGACGTTGAGTCGAAGCGCGCGTTACGCGAACGAAATCCATCAATCAATTCAATTAACTAATTGCCCCCTGGTCCCGATGCTTTGCTCAAACGCCCCTCCTCTTCCGGTATTTTCCTTTCCTCGTGTCTCTCGGATTCACGATTTGTCGGATGACGCGGCGAACCTCGCACCCAACGAACCGATTCCTTTTCCCATCCTTCAAATCCTCATGCCAAAATTTTTCCACGTCACTCCTTCATTAGGTCTTTATCGATTTCCTAAACAGTGGCGGATCATTATAGAACAAACTCAAAAAGTTGACAAAAATATTACATTGAAAATTAGATCTCAACGTTTTTCAAATATATAAAATAATAACGAAATAATGAAGATTGTAAAAGCAATTTAAATTTATTTCAAATTCTTAACAAACGAAATTAAAATTAAGTTTTTAGGGTTTTGAATTTCGTGATCACCCACTATCCCTAGGGATTTGCTAGACAATCACAAGACTTTTACTGGTTGTATGGATTTTTCTCGCTACACACGAGATACCGCCTTTGCTTTACAAAGTGTCGCAATCTGTCTCTATTCTTTCAAATGAAAATAACATGATCGTTTTAGGAATGGAAAAATAACATTTCCTCGAATCATTCGTTTTTATAGTGTTTCTTCATCACGTGAGAATACGCTCTTTTGTAACGTATCTTCCAATAATTCGAATCTCGAATTAAATATCTTTCAAATTAAAATTCAAAGTAAATCATTAAGAGAGAAGTAAATAAAAATAGAAAAGATAACAGCATTTTTTATAAAAGCAATAACGGCTTCATCGGATAGACTTTGATACATTCAATAGAACGGGGCAAAGGTTCAAGTTTGTGCAACGAGCGAATGATTTGTGTTTACCTTAATAAAAATTTAATTGACGTTCTTATTATTTGCTTATAAAGATGACGACACCGTAATAGATACTCTCCTTCTTATATTTGTCGTCAAATCAGCTATATTTGCTGAAATTTTTAGAATCGTAATCGTGCATGAAAATGTATTTCTTATTAGAATAACGACATAACGATTTTAAAACAAAAAATAATAGAGAAAATCTTATTCTATTAACCTTTATCAAATCATTCGCAATATAATCCTTTCGGATTATTCGCATTTTTTAAAGACGTATACAATCGTTTTATCATTAATTAAAATATATTTCTTCGCGAAAGTTAAAAGACAAAACTAATTAAAAGATTTTATCAAAGATTTCTGAAAATTTTTTCAATTTGATCTTCGATTCACAGACATTTTAAAGATATTTATTTCCTCGTTTTGACTTTCCATTATTTTGTTCGTCGTTTTAAAAACACGACACGTTAATAAATGTATTTCGACTTTTTCTTTTTATCAGAGTTTACAAGCAAGCATAAGGCAATGGAAAATATTAAATATATAATGGTAAATATTCTTTAACATATTTTACATGTTTCATGTGGACACGTAATCATCCGTTTCTGGACATATAAAAGTATACATTCACTATACATGTGCGTTCCGTGCACGTGCTATGCACGTTTATTTATACCATCTGTACATTTCCATTCTGAATAATGCAAATGCAATAGTACAAAAGGGTAAGAAAAAGATATGTTAATTACGATAGCTTATCATCCAGTTTAGGTTAGAACGGCTCGTCTAGTACGTGTCGTCGTTCGGGGATTCCAAGAAGTCCCTGAACGGTGATTGACAGCTCCCTGACGGTCCATCGGGAACGTCGTCAGGAGTAGACGAGCGTGACTGCGACAAATTCGGATCTGGAGATTCCTTTCTTACCTACCGCGAATATCGATGTCAAGATAGTCCTAGGAGAAAGCGCTTCGTTATTTAATCTTTGTGAATAATGATTTTATCTACTCAATCATTATAGATTTTCTTTGTAGTTTGCGTCTCAAGTAGCAAGTTACGTTAACGTTGCGCAAATATTGATGCGTTTAACTTGTTCTTTTCATTCCTTTCACTTTACTACTTAAAGAGAATATATATTTTGTAAGAGAAATTTAGAATGCAAATAATAATCCATTATTGTGGGCAGTGTAGTCATCGTATACATAACGAATTCGTTGTTAATTTAATATTGTTGCTTCGCATTCAATTCTGTTCATTGAGAAAAGCAACGGATCGTTTATGCGTGTGAAAGGTCTTAGAAGATCCCTCTTTGTGGGATCTTCAAATGCCACTAATAATTTTATCGGTAGAAGATGCTATCTCTCAGAATCGATCAAATTTTAGCAATTGTTCGTATTGCTTGCATATGAAAATAAAAATTAATTTCTTTCAGTCCAATTACTTAATTGAACAATTAATTCATTTCTAGCAAAACTTTCTCATTGTTTATGAATTATATCAGCATTTAAAATTTATATTATTACACGTACGTACATATATATTTATTTCAAGTAAATTGTTCCTAACGCAAGCAATTCGAAATTAATAGAGATTTGTTTTGGAAAATATTACATAGAAATTCGCGTGTTGATCCCATAGTACTTTTCATAATACGTTTTTTAAATTCCAAATCGTTTCAAGTATCACATTGTATGTTTTGCCCATTCATGTTCTGCCCTTTATGTTTGCGAAAAAATTCAAATCAAAAGAAATATTTTATAAATGATAAAAACACTCAAGAGATGATTATTAAAAGATAGAGGCGAAAATAAATCAGTTGAGGAAGACGCTATGCGGATTTTGATCCGCACGCACGTACGATCGAACTAGTGGTAGCCATCGGTCTTCAGTAGTGTAGGCGAGTAGGTGGTCGGCCTTTTTCCTGCTTGCTCGCACGAACAGGCGAGCCGACCGCGTCCGAAGGCGGGTATGCGTTCCTTCAATGGCAGCAACGGCGGCGGCAACGGCGGCGGTATCGGCGGCAGCAGCAGCAGCAGCAGCAGCAGCAGCAGCAGCAGCAGCAGCGGTGGCCCTCTCGCTCGCGAAAGCGCAAGCGCGAGCTTCTTCTTCGTGTCCCCGCCGCACGGCAGCCACCGCCACCACCGCTGACGACCCGGTTGCGTCCCGCTGCCACCGCACCACCACTACGTCGGCGGTGGCCCCCTCCCCGCCCGTCGCCCCTTCCCCCGCCCCGCGCCGAGAGCGCAGTGTCGCGTCGAACCTCTCGCAGAGCGCGTCGCACGTCCGAGTACCGGCCGCCGCCCGTCATCAGTAGTTGCCATACCGCGCAGCCACGTAACCTCTCACCTTCTCCTTAGTTTTTAGTAGTCAGTAGTAGGGGAGAGTGTGGAGAGAGAGAGAGAGAGAGAGAGAGAGAGAAAGCGAGTAAAAGGGAGAGAAAGAGAGAGAGAGAGAGAGAAAGAGAGAAAGAGATAGAGAGAGAAAGAAAGAGAGAAAGAATACGCGCGCGAGAGAAAGTGAAGAACGTATGAAAGAAAAAAATTGAGAGAAGATCAAGAAGAAGAAGAAGAAAAGAAAGAAAAGAGAAAAGAAGGAAAAAAGAAAGAAGATATCTACGTTTTCTTCATCGTAAACCGTCCTCCTCGTCGTCGCCGTCGTTATCGTCGCGCCCGTCGTCTTCGTCTCTACGTCCTCGTCGTTGTCATCGTTGTCGTTGTCGTTGTCGTCAACCGGCTTGACGCAACCACTCGGAGTAGTTTATCATTTCGTACACGAGTACGAGACGTACGTGCGTTTCGTTCGTACGTTTCGTCATCGTTGTCGTTCTCGTTGTTCTCGTAGTACTTCGAGGGAGCACGTAGCGCGAGAGGAACACGACGCGAAATACGGGAAATAAGACGTCGTGTGGTTATCGTTCATCTTTCTCCTTCTTTCGCAACAACACGAGTCAGTATTACTGGAGGATCAAAGACGAGGAGAGGAACGGAAGATACTCTCGTCGTGAGAGTAGAGACGTCACGTTCTTCTTTGCCATTAGAAAAGGAGCAAACAGCAGATTCTCTCTCTCACCGTCGGTCAACAACAACGAACACGAGGAAGATCGTTGTCGTAAACGGAACAACAACGACAACGACGACGTCTTCCCGTCATACGAGGACTAAACAGGCAGAATCACTTTCTGAACGACGGCTCTCTCTTAATAGTCGTGCTTTTTCCGTTTCATTCGTGATCCTCGGGAAGAGGCGAGAGCGTTGCGACGACGACGAGCCGTGCGCCGCGCGCCATTATGGAATCTCAGAATCAGGAGATCGTGGCGAGCGGGTCGCCCGCTGAGGTGCCCAACGATCCAGGGTACATATCTTCATGCTTCTGCCAAATCGATCGTCCACCTACATCCACCAGCAATGTTTATAATAGCACCGACCGAAAGGACGGATTGCTTCCTTGTGAAAAGTAACGCGACGATAATCTCACTTGTGTTTATATATCGCGCGAGTGTTCTTTAAAGAAAATCGCATATCGTTACGTCAATCCTTTTAGTTTTTATCGTCTGTCGGCGTTCCGAATGATAATCGTGCGCGTCGTGCCTTCTACTTGCTCTTGTTTGTTGATGCTTCTGTTTATATATATATATATATATATATATATATATATATACAAAAGTATATATGTATATATATATACTTTTCTGTTTATATATATACACACATATACATATTTATTTATATATATATATATATGTATATATATACTTTTCAATACGACAGTATATAGATATATATGTATATAGTATATATAGTATATATAGTATATATATATGTCGATTCTGCTATTTATTGTTATTGTTATTGTTGTTGTTATTGTTGTTGTTGTTGTTGTCGTTGTTGTCATTCGGTGGAGCAGGCGCGCGTGGTGTTTGTTTGCCGGGCGCGTAATATGCGTGTCACGGTAGTGTGCTCTCTCTCCTCGGACCGGTGGCGCCTTCTTTCAAGCGCGTTCGGCATTCCCCTGCGTCCCCTTACCCCTCGTCGGAGACATCCCCTTTGGTCCGCGTGGAACGCGCGAAAGAGAGCGTAAAAAGGATAAATGAATGGAACGATCCGAAAGAAACTTGAAGGAGAATAGTTTGCCGCCAAGCAAAGGTCTTATTCTTTTTTCCTCTCCGTTCTTTTACATTCGACTACATCGCTGTATAATTCCTTTTTTCCTTTTCGTCTAAAATGATTTTAACAGATATTCGGATTGGTTGCATTCGCTAAGAAATTGGAAACGCATCAAAATAGCTAGCAATGCTATTGTCATTGTCGGTGTCGTCATTGTTTTCATTGTCGTTGTTGTCGTCATTGGAGGTGACAGCGTCTATCACATAGTGTTCCGATTCTTCTGCTCGAATTACGTGAGTTGCTGACCACGTAACCTACAAAGAAAAACGAGGGTAGTCCATGTCATTCTTTATCGTATCGTGACGCGTGGATAAAAATAACATGCGAAGAATCTCTGTTCTCTTCCGACCATTATATATTTTTACGTATAAAAAGTGATCGATTTAGGTTGATCTATTTAATACGAGAAATTCATAAGTGATTTCTTCGTCGTCTGTGTTTATCTTCTCCAAAATGGCACACGTTTACCAGATTACCGCGTAAAAGTATTAGAACGGAGACGCCTAGAAGCGTTTTAGTGGGAACGGAGGAGAGAGCGTGGAGGAGCAGAAACGGAAGAAGGGAGAGGAGGAGGATAGACGGAAAAGCGCGTGGGTGGGAGTTCACAACGAGGCTGTCGTGCCTCAGAAAATCGATGTTCGAACGCGCTACCACGTGATTACGACCATTATGCGAGAGAGCGTTATCTTCGTTAGCATCTATGCGACGAGCGCGAGATTTTACGTATTTAATTATGACAACGACGAGTAGATTAGCGTCGTGTAAAAATTCTTAAAAAGGAAGAGTGAAGGTTTTTTTTTTTCTTCCGCTTCCACTAGTCGTTGGCTCACTTACGCGATAATGATGTATAACATACATACCAGATTATCATTATATAAATGATTAGAGATTGCACGTGCGCTCACTCGCTCGGAAAGATATTTCGAAGTGGAAGCACGTTAGGAAACTCGATTCATAATAGACCGGTTTCCATGAATTTTGATTATTCCATCTGAGTATGTGATATGAAAATCGATCTTATCTTCGTTAAATTAGAATGTCGTTTACGATCTTCCGGATAATGCACATGCTTCTCCGTTGTCATCCTCGTTCTCTTCGTCATTACGTTGTGTTAGATGCGGCCGATGAATGGATCCTGTTCACGCGTATCTATCGATCTATTTTGTAACGATGAGAGTGTATAATTCATGAACGGCATTCGAAGCTTTTATTCGAAATGTTCTCATTTCATTTAAATTTAATGGATCAGGTACTTTACTGCACTGGCGGCAAACCGTAATTAAACGATAAATTCGAATTTCCCTCGTTTTTTCCGATCAACAATATCGTTGCGTGGATGGGCTTAAGTGTGTCCGGAAGTAATGGGAACAGGGGGAGCCTCGGATTAAAGCAGGAAATGCGCTCGTTTGTGACGGAAGTCGTGTTCTGAAAATTTTTTACTTAAGATTGCGCACCGTATCGAGATCGAGAAGAGTTCTTCTACAAAAAAAAATTGCAAAAAAGAAAAAAAAAGGCAAAAAATCGTTCGTGAGTTTTTTGGTTGTTGGTTGATGTGTGGTGACACCTGTCGTCGAGAAACGGAGACTGCGCAGAGGGCTAAGAAATACCGGAAGTTACCCTCTGCTGGCAGTTACCCCGTTTTCTCTTTCACCGCCTTCGTCTTTCAACATCGAAGATTGGCTGATGGCGATGCTGATGGAATCATCTTTTTTTTCTAGGAAAATGTTCATCGGTGGTCTATCATGGCAGACCAGTCCAGGTGAGCATTATTTAACGTTAATTATGATAACGGTCCCACATTCGATTAATTAATTCATGTGCATTAAGATACTGAACTAATGCACAAAATTTGAACGAATTAATTCGAATTGTCCAACATTGGATTTTTAAAATTAAACAAATCGTATTTATATTTTTTGTATTATTCTCAAGGCAAATTTATCAATTGCGATGGAATATAATGAAAAAGCATAGTTGAAGAAAGTCATAGAGTATCTTGACAGCATCTTCCTAGAAATACCGTATAAAAGAAGATTAACGAGGACAATCGATTACCGTATAAGCGTGACCATCTGCGTATATCGCGTGATTATGAAAAATTACTGGGTGACACAAGATGGACTTGAGTAACGCTTTGTTGAGCGTGCCTATGTCGGCGAATCAAACGTCCATCACCCGTCGTCACGACAAAAAAACTTTCTCTCTCTCTCTCTCTCTCTCTCTTTCTTTCTTTCTCTCTTCCTATCTTTTATAAACAATACCAATTACATGTGTACACAACTAATATTTATGCGAAATTACTCGATGTAAAATAATAATTATTGGTAAATGTAGTAAGATATGAAGAGACGGTCAGTATCCAGTAGACAAGTAAATATCATTAATTACAACCCTAATCATTTGTACTGGAGACTCTCCAATATAATGGATATCTCAATTTTTTTTATTATTCGCTAGTTTTCAAAAATGTCTATAATATATATATGCATACATCGGTAATATGTTTATTCGAATGATTTGATAGTTTATTTCGAGCCAATATGGATATATTTATATTCATTATTTTTAAACGATTTCAATACAATTATATCCATTACTCTTAAACGAATCAAGAGCGAAGATGATCAAAAATATTCAAATGAGCCATGCTATTTTTTCCGTGCGAAACTTACAATATCTTTTAGATCGGACACATTTCGAGTACTCTAGACAACTTAATTATAATCTGATCCTTGTATTTCACTCGTGCTAGTACAGATATGAAGTACTTTCTTTTAGCAATGTACCTGTTTATATCTTGTATATAATATGCTTTCAATCGATTATGCATGTGTCAGTTCCTAGCGTTTATATAACAAAACAAATTTTGCCAAAAGATGCAAAATGAGTCGAAGAGCGTCTCTTTTTCTTTTTTCTCTGTCTGTCTCTCTCTCTCTCTCTCTCTCTCTCTCTCTCTCTCTTTCTCTCTCTCTCTCTCTCTTTCTCTTTCTTTCTCTTTCTCTCTCTCTCTATCTATCTATCCATCTATTTATTTATTTATTTATTTATCTATCTATCTATCTCTTTCTATCTTGTGGAAAAAAATAAAAAAGTAACAAAGGCGGAGTAGGCTCATTAGCGTTATTTGCCGTCGTTACGTAAGCCGTTACTCCACCTTCCTTTCGTCTTGTTCTCTTGCTCTACTGGACTTCTTTTTTCTCTTCCTCTCTTCTTCTTCTCCTTATCCTCTCTTTCTCTTTCTTTTTCTTCTTCTCTTTTTTTTTTCTCTTGGTAGTCTTCTTCCGTGAGTTAAGACGATGGCAAGCGACAGAAGAAACGCTGGCAAGAAGACTGTTTCTTTTGCTTTTCACGGCGTGTCCAGCCTCTTATTGAGGTAAGCACAGAGAAGGAGAAGGAGGAAACTATAAGAGAAGAAAGAGGAGTTTAAGGAAAAGACTTCAAGATGCAGAGAGCAGAGCATTTCGTTCCTCGATCGCTTTATACTCGCTTTGGTCGACGACTGATTTAAGGTTGCAGAGTAATTCACCAGTTGGCATCGACGATAACAGAGTCGCTTTATCCGAGCCTCTTATGTACCAAATTTGCGGCATCGAGCACAAATTGTCGTTATGTCAACTCTCTTTCTCTCTTTCTCTCTCTCTTCCGCTCTCTTTCTCTCTTTCTTTCGTGCTCTCTTTTTCTCTTTCTTGCTCTTCCTTTCTCTTTCTTGCTCTCTTTTTCTCTTTCTTTCTCTCTCTTTCTTGCTCTCTTTTTCTCTTTCTTGCTCTCTTTTTCTCTTTCTTGCTCTCTTTCTTTCTCTCTCTCTCTCTCTCTCTCAATCTTTTTTTCATTTTTTGCTCTTTCTATCTCTGGTCCCTCAACCTTTGTCTCTATAAGTTCAATTTCTATAAATAAGTTTTCATGTTATCTATAAATTTTTGGATTTAGTTTTCAATTTCCATTTACATCCTACAATTGTTATGTATTATTAAAAAATTTTTATATATTAAAATTTCATATTTATCAAAACAAAATGAAAAATAATTTAATTAACAGAATTTTCTAAGAATATAAAGATAGTATTTTATCTTATTTTTAAAATAAAAAATGCATAAGAATTTCTACAATAAGCCAGTTACGGCTATTATCCATTCAACTTATCTCTTATGTTTCTTTTTCTTTTCTCTTTCTTTGCAGCTTATCGTTTGCCGCAAATGGACTTAAATCCATGGTATATTTACTTGTTACAACCTTTACAAAGAACACTACTTTAACCTTTTCTACTTTTAAATGCCACGTTTTACATTCGTGGCGGGGAGCGTTCGATTTTATCGCTAAAAGAGTTTCATTTCTCGATATGCATTCGTTCTTCCGTGTTTTTGTGTTTCTTCTTTTTATTCTAGATTTTCTTTTCATCGAATTTTCGAGATATTCGAGAAAAATTTATCGTAAAGAGGCGAAGTTTTAAATAAAATACTTTTAATAAAAGCTTTAAATAAAATATTTTTAATTTTCGCTTCGAATTTGACACACATTCTAGCAACGCAAACTAATTAACTTGAATACCAGAACATTTTTATGAACGATAGAAAGGTGTCACAGACGAATTCGTATGATTTTTGCGTGTGACACGTGAAAGAAATCATTTGAGTAAATGGCCGATGCGGATATCGACAAAAATTGAATTATAAATAAATTCAAGTTTATATTGAATGTTAAATAAATACCACTTTGTAATTGATTTTAGCAACAAACGATTATAATAAGCGAAAAGTGAATGGTAAGGCTGCTTACGTATTGTCGACCAATCGCCGACGTCCATATCGGCGAACTATCAAGTAACTAAGCGACGTGTATTGTTAGTTTTTTTGTGATCATCGCTATTAACTCCATACGTACTTATATATTTCTTTGAATCTAATGGTCGCCGACAACTAGTTTGATGAACAACCAGAAAACTAGACGACTAAACATGGTGACCAAACGAGTCGCCCACGACTCGACAAACTAGGCAACGTTCATTGTTCATTTTTTTTGATCACCGACGACTCGCTAATCGCCACGATCAAGTGCGAATACGATTATATATATTCCTTTAAACCTAGTTTATCGGCAGAATCTAGTTTGCTGGTGATTAGTTGACAGTATGCATGTAACCTAATAATTCCCAAATTTGATACGCGTGATATACGTGCTGAATAAATAAGGATCTTATAAAATCTTGTATCACCGCAAATCGATATAATCGACTTTAGAATGAAATTGCGCGCTAGAAATTGCGCGCTTGTTTAAATTACATCTCATGTAAAAGATATATATATACGAATTTTTACGCTTGAAATACTCGTAGATATTTTATTATTTAAATTGATAAATAAGAGATATTTATGATAGTCATTAACTTTAGCTACATACAAATTCGAATTAATCGAATTTGGCACATCCTATTTGACAAGATTAGAAAGCAGTATTCCGATGCAGCCAATATTTACGTTAACATAAGAAATATTACGTTAAAACTTAAGAAATATTATGCATCAAATAACGGCTTACATTGGCTTTCCTGTGTACAAATGAAGAATGTTCATGTGTTCATCTAAACGTTTCATTTTTTCGGAACAATGGTCTGAAGCCTTGGAACGGTTTATATTCAAATTGCTAAAATACATGAAACATTGTGATACGAGCTACATGAGGAGCTAGTCCATTTAGACTTAGCTTCTATTGCTTTCAATATCAGTTAGATATTATATCTAACTGACAACAAACAAAACAATTGCGAACAAAAGTATATTTAAACGTATTATATGAGAAACATTGGAGAACGTAATAGAAAATACTTTTATTTTTTCTTCCTGTTGTTATTCAACATAATATTCTTGTTATCGCTAATTAATCTCAAACACGATTTACGAGAAACGGATGCAACGTACTTCTTCTTTTCCGAATGTTGAAGTTTCTCTTGATTATTTGCAAACGATCCAACAAGCTAAAGCCAAATGGAAGTTTAATTCTTGTGATACGTTTCATGAGACGAAATATTTTATATTTCGCGAAGCGTGTTAGCAAATGCGTTGTGCGTTCGTTCATTATATTATTTCTTGTCTAAGCGATTTCGTCGGTCGTAAGAACCTCGAATATTCTTGCAGTTTATTTTTTTGAAAGTAAGATTACAGGGGTCACGAGCAAAATCAATTTTCGAAAAACAACCAAAGCGAAAATTACCGATTACTCGATAAATTTCGTAGATCCAAGAATATTCACCACTAAGTTCATATTCTCATAATTATACGTAATAAATCTTAAGACCAAAGTGTTTTTCACTTCATTTTTCTAACGTAAGAACGTATCCGCGTACTAATCTTATCCACGTCTAAAATTTTGCCACTAATCATATTTCAAGTAAAACGTTTAACTTTCAGCGCTAGGTTAGTATCTTCGAGCGTGAGCGTGTGCGTTCTTGAGATGAAGTAAGAGGACAGTAATTAGAATCAGCAAGTGAGAGAGAGGACAGGGAGAAAAAGAAAAGATAGGGGAGAACAAAAGAAAGAGATAGATAGATGGAAAGAGAAAGAGAGAGAGAGAGAGAAGAAGAGAGAGAGATTTTTTCGACTTTGTCGACATCGGCGTCGTCAACGTCGTTGTCGTAGTCTCTGATGCAATCGAGCGCAACAGACTCTCCTCCTCGTGTCTCTCGCTATTTTTAAACGTAATTGCACCCGGCCGTTTTAATGGGCGTGCGGGCATACAGACGAAGATGGTGCGAGAATGAGAGAGAAA